CCATTTAGCCCTTTTGGCTTAGTTAATAAACATCAAAATATGAGTTACATAAAAAATTGGATAAGCCTTTAGGAAAAAGAAAAGCATATTATCTTTTAATCCATTGTAGTGCAAGCACCAGCAGTTCACTCAGTTTTTTTGTTAAATATATTCCATCATTTTTTTTTATTTATACGCGTAACTAACCACATCGATGAGCAAATCTTGGTCCCGCTTTGTATAATAAAATGTCATAAGAATACTCCATGTTAGACCCTTTTCTAAAAAAGCATGTCCACATTGTTAAACCAAATATTTTATCATAGAATTCAATGATGTATGGCGTCACATTGAAATTCATATTTTTGATGCTTAGATAGTCCTTATTAGAACGAAAATGATATTCGAAAATTCTACTTAGACCGAGTTAGTTTTGATTTACTACACGATTTTTTACACAAATTTTATTTATCTGAAAAGATGTTCAAACCAACATTGAAACAGAGCTCAAGTGCTCTGCATTGAAAAGGATGAGTGTGGGATTGAAGAGAAGCTGTTCTGAGTAAACAAGTGGGAGCAGAGAGCATGGTGCTAGATACATGAAGAGGCGTGCCCTGAGCATGACCACGCTGTCTCGCCAAGGCCATGGCTTGTTTCACCATGTTCCCAGCCTCAGGCGTTAGGGCTGACTGGACACTGCAACCTCCACCCCTCATAATCTCAACTACAAGAGTCTTGTCTCAATATTATCTTTCTTTGGATAACAAAAACACCAAAAGATGTTTGTGTAAGTCTATGTGAGGAAGAGTATACAGAGAAGTGGGAGTTGAAATTATATGAGGAAGAGAAGGAATGTGTATGCTTTTCTTGTAGGAGAGGCAAAATTTGAGGGTCTTAAGTGGATTTTTGTAGTGCAAAGTGGAATGCATGTGGTGACAAATCAATACCAAAAGCCAAAGGCAACTCAGCTTTGCCCCTTGTATTGTTTTATATCTCAAATTTCACATACACATTAACAAAAAAAAAAAACAAATATGTAATATGGGAACTGCTTGCTAAAGTGGTCTCTCTTTTATTATGCAAAGTGTATCACTTTTTCTTATTTTTTTAAAAGACCTAACTAAAGATGCAAATCATTATTCACTTATTTATCAAAATGATATCTCCAATTGTATAATCACTAGCTTTTTCAGTCCCTTCAAGTAACTAATAGCCAAAGTCACAAAACTTTTGAAGACAACAGTCACCTGGTCTAGAGCCAATCTAGCAAACTAACCCCATATCACAAGCATGTAAGCAACCAAAACAACCTTAAGGAAATAAAAATTGGCACAAACAGTTTTTAAAATAATATTTAACAGGAAATGATGTCCCAAAAGATAATCACAAATCATCTCAGTGTTAAGATAAGCAAGATTCATAACCAATGATGCCATGTATAACCCAAAAAGATTCTCGCTCAAATTTTATAATCACTATTTTGGTGTTTCTTTTTAAATTTGAAGTAGACCCATCATAGACATATCTTATTATATAAAGGAGAACGCGCGCGATGAGAGTTTGACACGTAGACAAAATTCTTAAGCACTAGATCATGACATGTGTAATTGTTAATTTAGATTATGACATTTGTTAATATTAACAAAAATATTTAAAAAGAAAATAAAGAATATATTCTAAATAATGATTATGGACTAATTAAGAAAAAAAAAAATTGTTCTACTAAACTACGTAATATTTCCAATATTAACAAAAAGAAAAAAATAAGAAATATATTCTAAACAAAGGTTAGGGACTAATTAAGAAAAAAGAAAAAAATCGTTCTACTAAAATATGTAATATTTCTAAATTTTTATATTACAAAATACATTATTTCCATTATAAATTATCTAAATAGTTAAAAACAAAAAGAAATGTCATATTTATAAGTGTAAATTTGCTAATAAAAGCATAACATATAAACATTACATAAGCCATAAAATAAACAAATAATACATATAGTATAAAAATCTCAATTAAAATAAATGAAAAGACGAATGATAAAAAAATAAGGTATAGAAATTGGAAAAATAAAATTTATAAAGGTTATAGAACCCTCAATTTAAAAGTTTAAAATATACACAACCATGCAAAAAAAAAAAAAAAATCTATAAGAACACTTATTTTATCAATATAGAGTTCTAAAATATCACAAAGAAAATGGAAATTTTTTACCTATGATGCGAGTGATACTCTTCAAGTGTATATATTGAAAATTTATATAAGTTAAAAAATACTATTATATTTACTATTAAGTTAATACTGTATAAAATTTGTATCTTTATGAGAAATAAAACGATGACATTAATAAAATACAATTATCAATCATGTAATTATGTGATGGTTCACAACATTATTTAAAGTTTTTATGAGTTTAAAAACATAAAAATTTACTCATTTCTTATTTAACTATATAGTTTTTTAGTTGCTTTTACTACCACATAATCATAAATATTCATAATGGGTTAAAATATATTTTTTCGGTTATTAAGAATATGATTTAAATTTCGATACTATATATTTTTGGATTTACATGATATGTATTAGAACATAATAGATAATATAAATTGATTTCTACTGGCTTTAGAATCCACGTTAAGTAATATTTTAAAACTTAACAGATCAATAATTAAAATTTAAATATTTATTTCAATATTTTTTATAGTATTTAACCGCGTATTAACGCGGTTCCTATTCTAGTAATTATATAAAACAAATGTATATAATTAAAATATCATTCTCTTTCCCTTTCACTACTTTCATAAAAGTGTGTAGCTTTTTTACC